GTATACCAACACACTGCTTTGACATACTACTCAACACCGACCCCCAACCCACCGTTAGCATGGCACAGCAGAGACCCATCATCAGTCGTACACTCGTTAAAAAGTTGTTTCAGTTGCTGTTTCCATCGCCCCGCCGCACCGCTGCCTGACGAGCTGGTTAAACTCAACCACTGCTTCTTCTTTGCTCGAAATACTGTACTCGTCCACTGAGCGATTTCAAGCGGCCCCCTTCAGCCCACTTTCGCTCCTCACACCCTCAATTCTATTGCTGTGACGCGGAATCGTCTCCCTCCCCTGTGAACCCGTTACTGTTGCCTATGCGGCTGTATATGCTCCCATACGTACGTACGCTGGCTGGGCTGGTGGTTGGCTGGTCATTTGACTGTGGTGTGATGAGTATTTCATTCGTTCGTATGCTCGTTCGTTTGCCTTCGTTGATACTTAACTCAACTGGCTGGCGTATGGCTGATACAATGACTTGCTATAGGCTGGCTACTACTAGCAGCGACTTTATACTAGCGAACTGGCGAACGAAACACTTGGGTATCTGGCAAAGGCAAGCAAGCAAAACCAAAAACCGAAGGCAAACTCTGCACTGAATAAAATCTAAAGTATACTGGCAAAGCAATACTACAAGGCAGCCATAGCTCGTGGAAGTATAGAAGAAAATTATAATTTTAGTGCGTGAATTAAAATCGAAATTTCAACGTTTTTTGCCACAGGTAAGTGAAAAGTGCTTTTCCATCATCGATTGAAAATTGTTCAAGGTGTGTAATTTTTGCAAAACCGCACAAATTCGCTGCATTTTATTACATAAAAATTGCGAAAGAAAACGACCCAATTTGGCGTGGGTTTTCTATAAAATTTTCATACTCGCCGACGAACTATGTGGAAGATTTCAATATGGACGGGTACTTGGCTGGCTGGCTGGTTGGCGGGTTCGTTCGTTACGACTTTTGTTCCGAGTACCGTTGCTCGTCGATTAGTGGCGTTAATATTCTCGTTTCTGATATATTCCGCTGTATTTTGTACTGTAAGAAAATCAAGTGCGCGCGTTTTTCATATTTTCCCATGCAAAGCAACCAAACGACGGTTATTATTTGAAAATTGCATACAAAATTTAAAATGCGCTTTGAAAATGTGGCAAACATGCGAAAATTTTCTCTATGGTACATTGAAAAATGTGGTTAATTACGTCGCACTAAAAAGCAAAGCCGTAAGATGGTGTGAGAGTATAGGCGCTTGAGCGGTGTAGTGCAGAGTGTGACGCTGAGTGCGAGGTTTGTGGTGGCTAAGCGATGCCTGGGGAAAGGGGCTATGTCAGGGGGGGAAGAGGATAGTTTCATTGCACGGGCAGAGGGAGCAGTTAGACGGGGGCAACGCAGTCGAGAGCAATGTGGGGCGATGATTGTTCACACCGGCAGCGTTAACGGCAGCGTTAACGGCAACGTCAACGTCTGCCTATCTAATAGGGCGCCACTTTACAGCAATGTAAATGAAACGAGGGGTATAATAGCGTTTTTTAGGTTAGGGTGTATGCATAAATACATACATACATATACATATATGTATACATATGTATGTGTATGCAGGTATACAAGTGTATTTGTGTGCAGAGTTGCGTAGCGAGCAAACGATATGATTATTTCATAATCGGAAAGTGCGCGGGCGCAGGGCATGAGCTGTCAAATCTCAATATCCAAGTATGTACCTACATACATACATATGTATGTATGTATGAAAGTTTGAAATTTCTCATCAGCTTTATACCGTTTAACATTCCATTTAATAAATTTTTGGCTCCAAATTTGCAAAATCGGGAAAATGTATTTTTTGATTTGAACTCATGTGAAAGAAATCATTATTTTAAATTTATGGTTTTCTTGACTTCAAATACACACACAAGTACGTAAGTACGTACGTACGTACGTATGTATGTATGTATGTATGTATGTACATATGTATGTATGAACAATACTGGGACGTTCATAGCGTTTTATGGGGTGCTGCTGCGCCCGCGGTGTTTATGCGCGCGCGGCAATCAGCAGTGCGCTTTTAATCTGTACGTTGCTGCAAAATTACACAAATATGCTAAAGAAGCGGCGGGCGCACGAAATATCGTAAATATGTATATATACATAGATATATATATATATATGTATTAGACATTTACGGCGCCAAACCACGCTGCCACCGCCGCTGATTTTCCCAATTTCTCACGCGCCGCCGCCGAGTTACGGTGCGGTGGCATCGGCGGCGGAGCTCGGCGCCTAAAGGCCCGTTTACAGACAACTTTGGCGTTGACGTCGATTGTTCACATACAACTTTGGCGTTGCATTGGCGTTGGCGTCGCTTCGACAGCAGCGCGACTAACGCCAGTGCTTGCTCCAATACACGCATGGCAGCGAATACTGACATAAATTCATATTTCAAACCAATAATTACATTTAAGACCTATACGTGAAAAGTTGAGAGTTAGGCATCTTTATGTTTTGTGTTGGCGTAAGCGTTGTTAAATTTTGGCTATGTGGATGTCTCCAGATTCTACATACTAGCCTTCGCTTTCGCTGGAAGAATCTTAAGTCATTTATAGTTTGCTTATAAGACTTTTAGCAGTACTTGTTGAAGGCCCATTAATGTTGCTTGATATACTACTTAACCATTTAGCGCCTGCAGCGCATTCGCAAAACGTATTCGTATTGATGCGAATGCGAATGCGAATGTCGAATGCGTGTGCGTAAAATGATGCGAATCATTCGCTTAACGAATACGAATCACATATTCGCAACATGCCTGGTATGTATGTGCCTAAATATAAATAAGTACGTACGCATACTATGTAGGAGCCTATATTGAGCATGCAAGGGTGAAAGCAAAGCTGAGTCAAAGCTCTGCTAGCTATTTCGGACTAATGGCCGATATGTATTACAATATGTTGTTGGCTATGTTGAGCCTCCCTCGCTGGCAAACGCACGTTTTGTTCGCTTGTGGTAGTAGGCTTTTGGTTTTTGCCACGCTACTTTTGTGGCATTTATACAAACAAATGTACAAACGCAGAGATACGGACTTAATCGCATAATTATGTGTGTATACATGCTATACATATGTATGTATGTATGTGTTTAAACTCTTCAACTACATACAAATGTATGCTGAATAGCAACGTCGACCAAGCAATGGCAACTTTCGCCATTAAACGCTACTACAGTCCCGTCTAATAACTACTACCCCATGCGCACATAATTTTATTCACAGTCGTGTCAAAATTCATACTACAAAGCTTCACAATCTTTATTGACAGCACTGTGCTTGCAGGGACACGCATTGTATTAACCAACAGCCACCATATGAACTTCATCCGCAGTACTTTCGCGCGCAAATTTTAGACAGGCAAGTACCTGAACCTTACGGAGGTACATTGGATGTGTATATGCATGTGGTATATACATACATATGTACATCTGTACGTACAGTAAAGCAATTGCGAGGCGATGTCAGTGGGTTGTAGGAGTACACCGTTGCATCACGCACTCCATTGTTAACTCTATCATCTACAAGTCCGCCAGCTAAGTCAATGAAGATACGCATCTTTCAGTCGGTCGGTCTGGCTAGTCATGGGGCAAAAGTGAATTTGTGTGGCCACATGCATACTTATGCACATACATGTGGTTATGCTGTTGAATGGCATCGTTATTAATCTACGTATTTATTGCATTGGCTTCAGGGCTTGTGCTATATTGAGTGTGCGTACTGCTGCTTGGCCACATGTGGATTTAGTGTTAATTACTGCTAATATTTCACCTTGACCTACATTCCATAGAATGGTGCATAGATTCAATTTTCCATTTAAATTTTTTTTTTTTGGGTTTTAACAGAAAATTTACCAATGATTCGATGTACTGTTTTAAGAAACACTGTTTTTAGGAATCTAACCAAAAATTTGTTTAAATAAACAAAAGCCAAATCAAAACATCCCGACGACTCTCTATATATGTATGTAAGCTATAAAAAAATTGTTTGTTTAATTTAAGAAATTTTATCTTTTACTTAACTTTAAACCACTTCTAAAGCATTTTTAACTTAAGTGACCGTCTTTGATGAATTATGTTTACATGCACATATGTATGTACATAAGCTGCACTTTTTTGTGTAAGCGAGCGACAAAAGAACGCGCAACTCGTGTAAAACTTCCTTTAATCTACTTAAGCAACCCTGCTGGTAGCTGGCAAGAAACATGTGATTAGTTCAACGGGATTTATACACAAAAAACAATAGAAATTAGTAATTATGCGAGGTATTAGCGTAATATATATACATTTTTTAAATATAAATCATGTATATACGAAAACAACAATTTCCCTCTCCACTTTCTCATTAACAATTCACAACAGAGCAGTTTTTCACTTAACACTACTGTTCAGGTCGCGTATTTTTTAACCGACCTGGCTGAACTCGGATAAATAGCCCAGTTTTTGTTGTTGCTTTGCGTGTATTTCATCATTTAAGCGAGTGTTCTTTTGTAGCTCGGTTGCAAAAGAATGGACCTATAAATACATATGCATGTATAAGTCCAAATATGTAGTACCACATATGTGAACTCGAATGTTAATGTTGCAGCGGCCACTGGATTTAAAAAAAAGTCTTTACAATCCACAACGTACATACATACATACATAATTTTTCGCTTTACTCCCAGAACGGTAGTGACCATATTACCCCATACATGGTAAGCTTCGCGGAAACGACGGTGCTAATAGTTCCAACTGCTATAACTTGCAAAATAAGTAGAATTCTATATTTTGTATTTATTTGCTGCTTTTAATAAACAAAAACAAGAAAATCGAACAGGAAACGCAAAACAAAATCGGTTAACGTGGTCCAAAGTTATGCGGTAACAAGCATAAAAAAATATATATATTCCGACGAACTGAAAACCTTCTCCTTTTTGTGAAGTCGGTTAAAAATTATACATGCAAATATGTATACATACATACTATATGTATATTTATGTTATTTTATTAAAAGGCCACACATTCGTGTATATACAAACATATCAGAAATCATAAAGCAAATTTGGTGTTTCCACTTTCCGTATCCGGGTACATACGTACATATGTACCTCCTTATGTACTTGGTAAAAATTTGTTTGTTACCTGAAATGGGAAAAAAACATTTGATATTATTAATATGTATTTACAACCGTAGAAAAAGGTTTTTTTCTTAACAGCGGTCGTCCCTCGGCAGGCAATGGCAAACCTCCGAGTGTATTTCTGCCATGAAAAACAGCTTCTCATAAAAATACAATCGCCGTTCGGAGTCGGCGTAAAACTGTAGGTCCCTCCGCTTTGTGTGACAAATCAAGGCGCACGCCACAAGTCGGAGGAGAAGCTCGGCCAAACACTAACAAATGTGTAAGCGCCAATCCATTATATTATTATTATTATTATTATTATTTACAACCGTAAACATACAATAAATTAAACAAATATTAGCGCTTACATTTGTTGTTAAGGTTTTGTTCGCTCTTTTCCAATTTGTGATATGCGTCTAGTCATCACACAAACAAAAGGACAAGCAACTTAACGCCTCCTTCGAACGGCAGATGGGTGTTTAGCATGGCAGAAGCAAACTCGAAGGTTTGCCACTGCAGGACACTTAAAAAAAAAACGTTGGATCTTACTTGTACCGAAAATTAAACTTGAGACCTACCAAGTGGTAGTATGCATATTTAACCAATCACAAACGGCGCTTTAATTATAATATACTCTCCAATGGCTTTCCCTCAAAAGTACAAAATTTATTTTAGTACATACGACTAACATAACCACAAAACTGAGTGTTTTCAATATAACGCTCTTTGTTTCAGCTCGAAACAAAACGCAGACACCAACACCAACAAATAATGTAGACGAGTTTTTTTAACTCCACTATATGATTTATGTCACACGCTATTTTTTTAGAAGATCAACTACACAAGAGTTATACAGAAAGCTCGCCAAAGTACCCTTAGCTAACTCCAATCCTCGAAATATGGCTAATCATTCCTCCACAAATCACTGTAATTAGCCCCAAACAAATCACTTTAGGATGAAGAAGCAAAACAAATTTCTCACGATACAAATTCTGTGAGCATACACTTCATATGTATGACAACGCTATGGACTCCACTCCGCACGTGAATCAAGCAGTTCAGTTCAGTAGGTTGCAGAGAACCGCTCGTTTAGCCGGCATATAATCATTAGCATGTGCGCCGCGACCTACCGGTACCGATGCCGGCTATTTACAAGCATTCTCCTTCCATGCACATGCTGACAAACTCGTATGAATAAATGTACATATGGGCTGTAGATGCATGTCGAGGCTAGAGTTTTTCCGCTGTGGCTGATGGACTAACTGGCTGCTTGCCTATCTGGTTGTCTACTGTCTGGTTGTTTACTTGGTTGCCTAAAATATCGGCAATCCAGCAAAAGATTCTACACTCGCGTACCAGTATGTTGGGGCAGTGCTTCCCACATCTAACAGGGTATTTTCTACCAACTACACAATTCAGTGTTGAATTTTCAATAGAAAAAGTTGGCTTAATATGCAGGCCACCACTGTGCCACTAACTAACTAATGCCGCATTGTAAGAGCGACGAAAATATGTTTCTCATACAGAGTCATCGCCACCCCTTCGTAAACAAGCGAACGCATAAGTACATGTATTGGAATATTCTTTCGTTTGCTAGTTCGTTCAATCGCTCGGCTGCAGATGGCTGCTGCTGAGTATTCAGCTCAGAACGACGATGGTTCTACGGTGCGGGTCTCTGGAACTTACGGAGGGGACCGTTTTTACCGTGAGGGTAGATGGGGAGAACATTGCGTGCATATGTGAACATGTATGTATGTATGTATATATTTAGGTGCGTGGTTCGTGCAAAATATAAAGTCGTACAAGCTGCTGTCATTCATTCGCTTGTTGTTTTTGGTATTATTGCTGCGGTTGCTTCAGTCATCGCTTTGCTGGTACTACAGTACTGTACTATGGCGGCTGCTTATGCAGACATACCCAGTAGCGAAAATGCTCACTGGTGACATCACCACTAATAAGGATTTAGTGACATCGTAGCACTTGCTGTGAATCCTAAACGACATATAGCTGTCAATGACACTGGTGATAATGGCATGCAAGTGTACTCCTATCAAAGACTTCTAACAGACAATGTCTTGCAGCGGTCACTTAGAAAAAGTGCATTGCAGGACATTGTCGCTTGAATGTCATCAATGATCACTGCATGACAGAGTGATGCAGTGGCCACCACCGAATAAATTACCATTTGTATGAAAGTCATGAACGACTTCTGAAGACACTTAAGTGACTAATGCATGACATTCGCTACGGGGTACATATGTATATACACACACAAACATACATATGTATGTATGGCAGCTGTATGCGTAGCTTTGTTGCTATTTTTGTGTACTTATCATTGTTTTTGTTGCACGGTTATTCTCGCTTTGTTGTTCTTATTGCTGCTCTTTACATTACCGGTCTGCTACATATCGTCGCAAAAGATTGTCGTAAGCGTCATACGTACGTGCGTAACATACGACAATATTTTACCCAGGCGACGATATGTAGCTCGCTCACAAATTTGTTGGTTACTTTACTTCATTCCACACTCCATCTCAGCAAAAAATTACAGCGTACCCCAACAAACTTTTTCTCACTTCCCCTTTCCCGCGCAAAACCCCCTCGACCCCATCGATATCTACTTGCTTTATGGCTCTGCCTGTATCTACACCAGACATTAGCTGTGGCGTTCAGTACAGCCAACCAGCCAGGCAAAGCAGTCAGTAGGCCGTCAGTTCGGAGGGTAGTCAGTCGGGTGGTCACTCTGTAGAGCAGTCAGTTCGTGATGAAGTCCGTACATCACTACGTCAATCCAAAGGGTAGTCATCGGGCGGTCAATCCGTCCGCCAGTTAGTCAGGCAGTCCGTACGTCAGCTCGGTGGGCAGTCAGTTTGTCATGAAGTCCGTATGTCACTTCGTCAATCCGAAGGATAGTCATCGGGCGGTCAAACCGTCAGCCAGTCAGGCAGTCAGTACGTCAGGTCGGTGGACAGTCCGGTAGTCAGGCACGCTGTACGTCAATCCGAAGCGTAGTCATCGAGGGGCCAAACCGTCAGCCAGTTAGGCAGTCCGTAGTCAGTCGAGCGGTCAGCCAGTCAGTACGAAATTACGTCAATCTGGTGTGCAATCAGTCCGTCAGGTAAGTAGACAGGCAGCCAACCAGGCAGTTCACATTCATATGAATGTGCTTTGCGTTTGCCTTTACCTCGAGTAGAGCTGGGTTAAAACGTATAGAAATCAGTCAACAGATACAATTATACATCCATATATACAATGCATATACATATGTATATACATATATGTACATCCATATATATATATCTACAAGTACGTTAGTTGTTTGTCGAATTCGTTTGTTCACCGGCTCGTTGATTCGTTAGGTCGCTCGTATGCCAGCCATATTAAACGCAGCTATATCGCGCCAATATGCCTGTATTCGCTCAGCTACGCGATTGCTTTGGTGATGTTGTTGCAGCTGCTTCTGCTGATACGGCTCCCTCTCTATACATGTTCAAATGTATCTACAGCGCCACGTAGATGTCAATATGTTTGTATGAGCCTACCTATAGAGCAATGTAGTATCTGCTCACCTCCTGCCTGCTTGGCTGCCAGCTTGCTGGTCGTTATCGGCTGGCTGTGACTGCGGCTGCCTATGTACGCGAGTATCTCCTGGCTTGTGTAGTGGTTGCTTTTCGACTCAGCTCAACTGTATTGCCTGCTGCTTGTTCTTCTTGACTGCGTTCGTTCGTACAGTACGCCAGCCAGCCAGCCCGCCAGCCCGCCAGCCCAAGTGTATGTACCTAGTGCAAAGAATCGTTGAGCGAGTAGGGAAAAGGCAGCAGGGCAGCAGCCAGAGTAGCAATAGCCGCAGTAGCAGCAGTGTATAAAATTTTCTTCTGCGTTCATACAAGCCAACCCAAGGCAAAGTATTTTGTATTTCATACTGCGTTACTGCTTCGTTCTATGTGACTCGAGTCAGCTAACAAACAGGCAAGTAAACCAGCCATACAGCGCTATCAAGCGATAATAGCGTCGAAGTACGCCAGCCAACCGACAGACCAACCACTGTGGCCAGCATATACTCAGCGTGTTCAAGTGTATTTTATACTACAAGCACTGCTGTATTACTGGCGGTGCTGCTGCTTCTTCTTCTACTTCTGCTACTGCTACGATTTCATATCGTCTGTACAAGACGGTGCAAAAGTCTCCTAAGCCACCGTGGGCTCACAGTACATTTTGTAGTTTTGATCTCAACGCTAGGCGAATACACGCAGTGCTTCAAGTGAGTGATTTTTTTAATTTTTTCAAATTTTTATAAGTTTCAATATATTGTGCATTTACATACATACAGTTTAGCTAAAAGTCAATTGTTTAAAAGAAAATATAAAATATTTAATTTAACTACAACATGCGACTATACTAAATTTAAGTGCAATTAAAGTTGTTCGTTACACTGTGCGCAAATCATACGTACTATATGTTCATATGTAATAAACGAGAAAAGTGTTCAACTGCACTAGGAGAATCGGTCGTGCTAATAGTAACATGCATATAAATATGTACATATGTACATAGATACGTTATTTGTATGAAATTTTGCGTATTGAGAAACATTAATTTATGATATGTTCTATTAAATTTAAAACGTCGTGCAGGTGCTTTGCAAGTTAGAAGGCTAATTTTACAAAGAATTCTCCTAATGTATATGTATGTATGTATGTATGTACCTACCTAATGAGTAGACATATGTATGTATGTACCTATGTATGTACATAAATAGTGAATAAATACATACATATGTACATATTCATGCATGTAACTTTTTCATCCTCTGAAGAATTTTGTGCAAAAACAGCATTTTTCATGCAATTGCTGTGTATCTATCCGAAACGAAAGTATAGCTTACAATTGCAAATGCATAGATTTCAATCATTATGTTGGCGCATTGGCGCTATCGCCAACAAGCGAGGTATCAACAGATTTGAATTAGTTCGCACAGTTCGTTGTTTGAAAATTAGGCGCTTGTATGAAGCGTAACGTTTAGAAAAAGTATTTTGAACTGCTAGTAAAATGAAAACGTTTTGAAAAATATCCTTTAGTAGTTGATGCTATTTAACAGAAAAAGAAACGAATGCAAAAATAAATACGGTACGTATTATGTACTACATATGTATGTATGTGTGGTATGTACAGTGAGTGTCAGTGAAAATCGTACAGTAAATTTTTTGTTTTTTAAAAATAATGTTCATTTTTGAAAATAATGTTCACGAAGAAATTAAATTTAATTAATTAAACTGCTTACCTGAAAATTAAAAAAAAAATTGGATTAAATGTTTGAAATTTTGATGATTTTTTTTAATTCGTTAAAAAATTTGAAACTTAGGAGTTATGTGTTAGTTTTGTTGTTAAAAATGAATAAAATTTTATTAAAACTAAACATTTTCAAAAATATTTTAAAAGTTAACTGTGCGATTTTCACTGGTGCTGACTGTACACATACAAATAATAAAAATATAAAAATAAAATACATAAACAAATTCTAAATTAATATAAACAGAATATTTCGTACAATAACAGCTAATATCGAGTTAGAGTTTAGAAAACGTTAGCAAGAAAATTTAAATTACTACATATTAAGGTCTGTAAATTCAGCATTACCTAAAGTAATAAAAGTTAAAAAAAAAATACATAAACAAATTTTAAATTAATATAAACAGAATCTTTCGTACCATAACAACCAAAATCGAGTTAGAGTTTAGAAAACATTGGCAAGGAAATTAAAATTGCTACATATTAAGGTCTGTGAATTCAGCATTACCTAAATACTGAAAAAGTGCAAAAATTCAATTGCAGTCGAAACTCGATGGCCTGACTAGTCGATAATCCCAATATTCGGTAATATGAAGAACTGTGTTCTCACAGCATTAGCTACTTATTAATCCGAATTAATTGCAGTTCTACATAGAATCCGAACCGCATGCTTTGCGGTAAGAATCCAATTCGGCGAGAGTGTGTGTGCATATTTATTCAGTTTATGTGGTGTGTTGAAAATTATAAGAAAATTAATAATACAAATTTTTTTATTTAAAAAATATGCTATTTTATAATCCTCATAAATTAAATGTTTGTCCTTTTTTTAAAATTGTGTTTTCCTTAATAAACTTTTATATTCGGAAGCTACCTGAAAAGCCAACAGTTTCAATAATTCGAATCAGCTTTACAATCATTAGTTCGGATTATCAAGTTTTGGCTGTGCTGTTCTGAGTTTTTTCAAAATGAGCGGATTATTCTTCAGTGTAGTTCCAACAAAATGAAAAATATTGATTACACTATGCGACAGTCAAAATCGGGATGGGATGAAACCAACGGAAAATGTTATATCGGTCAAAAACAAGTTATACGTGGCCCGGCGTTTCGCTTCGTTTGTGGTCTTTTTTTTGACATAAGTCGAGAACACTAGTCCGATTTTGCTCAAACAAATTTAAAAAAATTAAAAATTACAATTCCTTTAATCTGTTAATATAACGCTTTTCTATATACTCAACAGTTTTGCCGGTAAAAATAAATGTATGAAGAAAAAAAAATTATTTTTGCCTAAAAATTAAATTTTTTTTTTAATTAATAAAAAATCCACGTAAAAACCGAAATGAGTGCAAATTGTCCAGAAAATATTAATTTATTTTGTTACGTTTGTGGCAAAAGAGCTTTTTCAACAAATACTGCATTACTCACTGAGCAAGTGGAGCGCACTTTTAAACTTTATTTTGATTCCGAAATAATTCGCGGCGTTTCGTGGGTCCCAGACAAAATTTGTAAAACGTGCTACAATGGTATTAACATGTGGATCCAAGGGAAACGCAGTTCACTTCGTTTTGGTGTACCAATGATTTGGACTGATCCAGGAGAGCACAATTCCGACAACTGTTACGCTTGCGCAAACAAAATATGTGGAGTAAATCGTAAAGGCCTTAAACGAAGAGTTTACATATCTGTTAAAAGTGCACAAATACCTCTACCGCATTCGGATGAAATACCAATTCCACCGCTTCCAAGTCCTGACAGAGAAACTTATTTTTCTATTGAAACAATGGATCAATCTGACTCTGAACAAGTGGGCGAACCACCACGCAAGAAAGTAAAGGGCGCAAACAAACGAAAATACGTTTTGCGTTCATCGATTTTTATAACCTACGTATCTATGTAATAACCTAATAATTACCTGTAATAATTTTTAATTTTACGTGTTAATAATAAATAATATATAATAAATATTATCCAAATTCATTGAAACATAAAATCAATATTCTTGTCAAAATTAGATACCTTCACTTAATTGTGAATAAAAGCGAAACGCGTACATCGCTTTTCATGATCTATGTCTCATTTTGCTTAAAGGTTATGTGACTTTGCGTGAAAGTAATACGACTTGACTTTTTTGCGTTTTGGATTTTTTATGAATTTAAAAAATAAAAAAATTTAATATTTTAGGCAAAAAATATTTTTTTTCTTCATACATTTATTTTTACCGGCAAAACTGTTGATTATATAGAAAAACGTTATATGAACAGATTAAAGGAATTGTAATTTTTAATTTTTTTTAATTTGTTTGAGAAAAATCGGACTAGTGGTTCTCGAGTTATGTCAAAAAAAGACCACCAAAGGTGACAATTTCCCCTATATGAGTTACGTATAACTTCTTTTTTACCGATATAACTTTCCCCAGTAGTTTGAACCCTTCCCGATCACTGACCCCTACCATTTGTCTCACAGTGTTATTCGTTGTATTCTTGGCTTCCTAAGGCTAAATCACATACTACACAGTGTTGTGAGAAATACAGGTCACAATAGATCATTGGACTGCAGGGCATAGCTCATTTTAGCGAACTATATATGTATCTACGATTCGTTGTAGACAGACAAGCTGTGGTCAAGGAGATTTGCGTTCAGGAATTTCGAAGACCCCTAGAACCTCTTAAGACAACATACCGTCAATCTAGACTGGCTCGCTTAACACATTTGTGTTTGCGAAAGGCTCTGACAAAAGTGTTAATAAATCGAGGCCAAGCATACTCACAAATTGAGAAGTGGGCTTGAGTAGCTTATAGCAGCAGGTAGACTTCTTTGGATACAAGCAAAATATCGCATTCGCTCTGGCTTTTCTCGATAAGCAGATAACACTAAGCTTTCTGAGACACTCCAAATAAAACATAAATCCTTTTACGGGAATATTGCCTATATTTCAATATAAAAGAGAAGTAATAAAACAAGTAGCACCCTAATACTTTTGGAAAACATGTATTTTCAATTTCTATTGCCTCCTATATTAATATATGAGTTTTAGCTTTAAGCTAGCGACATTTGTCTTATATTTCCACTGTCTTTTTCGAAAGTACACAACACAAAAAATGTGGGAAGATGCAACAGTGGATATACCTAAATCAAAGAAGCATTTATAAATTAAAATTAGTTTTTTTTATACAATGTGTATGTACATCAGTGTGGCCGTTGAGAATTTTCAGAAAGCCGCACTCCTTTAGTCATTGACGAAAAAAGGGTCACCATATTATTTTTGCTTTTCCTTACTAGTAAAAGAATAAATCTATTGACTTTAAAAAGAAAATAGTGGGACAAGTTTTGCACATAAAAGGGTTGCAAACATACACATAAATCTAGTTGCTCCAAGGAGAAGAGTTCCAGTTCCTTTAAAAGTTTTAAGTGATGCATTTTTGGTACTCACAGGGGGAAATATTTTTTAATAGCATGGTTCTGTTAACATTTCCTAAAAAAAACTCTGAAAAGAGGCAAAAGTCGCACATAATTTTGGAAAAGGAAAAAAAAACAAATTTTCAAAAAGTCGGGTCGAAGGGTATTGGCGCTTAAAAAGGGTAAAATTGCCCCTTTAGTCGCACAACGGCAAAACTGATGTACATATTTGTATGTAGTATCAACTGCCGCTAATTACAACTGCCACAACGACAAAGAATTTTTATTGTTTTATTTATAAAATCCTCACAATTAGTTTACTGAAAACAAACAAATTCTAACATTTACATATATACATACCATACACTTATACCATCCAAGAAAATTTGCCTAAAAACGTATCACATACGAGCATGTTTCCATACAAGCATATTATATATGTATATTGTTATGTATACTGTATAAGAATCAACAACATTTTGACATTACTTACGAATAAATAAACTACTATCCAGTCCTCAACAATACTAATAAACATGTGCTACCATACAACGAAAACGCTCCTCATGGTTTGTAGAA